CAAAGAGAGAAAAGGATTGTACTGGCAATCATACAAAGAGTCAAAAACTCTGACAGATGAAGAATTTTCCAATCACTGTTAAGATCTCAGGAGCATCAACCACCTGTGGAATTTAATGGAAAAAGTTACAATTGAAAAACCCAGGAAGAGAAGCGATATAATATCATCAGAACTAAGTATTCATACATAAACGAAGTACCTTTTGCTTGAGAGAAACTCTATCCAAAGATATAATGCTTGTAAGGACAGTGTAAAATATGAAGGTGTCATAAGTGAAAAGTTCATATGTAGTGAATGTAGAAATGGAATCCAGAAACAAATTTGCTGCCTTCTTAAAATTTCGAGTAGACATGCAGTATAAGCCTTCGTAAACCTTCAAACGGTTCTTCCTTTCCCAATCACCTCCCTCTTCAAACAAACTGGCATCAAGACATAAATGGTTATAGAGCCAGACTCAACTACCGTATCTGCATATAAAAAGAGAAATGACAGATAAATCCAAGAGATCCAGGTTGCTACTTACTTCTTTGCTTTATCAATGCTCTTTGAGATAAGATCAAAATCCATGTAGAAGAAGCCAAGCTGCAGTGTATAGAACACCAAGTCCATCTTTTGGCCAACGGCAACAGTTTTGGTTTCTGTCACCTTAAGTTGCTCCAAGGCTTTCTCCTGTGTTCAAAAAGAATGCAAATTAGGAGGAAACTACTGCAAAGGGTAAAAAAGAATAACCAGTTAATTATATTACTCTACCTTGTCACCAATTTGAATAAAATACAAGGACTTTGCTAGGTGAGCTTCTCGGACTTCACTTTCGCCTAAATTTTCTTCAGCGTCAGCAATCCTGAATAAGGCAATAGATTTTTCCTTATAAGTAAGAAAGGAGAGGACAAAAAAAAGGATAACAAAATTGAGTTCCCAGTGCTCTAAAGTTTTCATCAACAGAAGCAGAAAACTGAAGGCAGTATGCACAGTCCGGTTTAACGAGATTTTTCTATAGAATTCAATAAGAAGTTTATCTGATGTAACGGCAGATATCCCAATCATTTATTCATGATTCATATATGCAGAACATAAAGCTGAAAAAAAATGCAGTCATCTATTTTAACAGAAGGCGAAGCTGCGGGATTCAATTCCTCAAAAACTCGTGTACAAATGCTAGCTATAAAAAAGACAGCAGAGATACAGACCAAAAGTACGAAGCTTGCATAGCATTCAAAAAACATTTCTATCTCTGGAAGATTTTCTGAAGACAGAAACATCCCATTAGAATGAGAAGATTGTCTCAGTACAGTTGTAAGCAACTTGCAATTTAGAATCCATATTCAAAAAACCTCCTCTGCCTACCTTGAGAACCCTAACATTCTACTTTCTTTCAAGTTTCACTCAAAAGGTCATAAAGCTATAAACAATACTCCTAGAAATGCACTCTTATTTTCGCCGGTTGGATAAAAGAGATAGAGAAGAAGAAAGAAAATGTTGATTGATTGAGAGAGAAAGAGAGCACATTCATAATCCATGTGGTTGCCCAAGTAGCTTGCCAAATTGGAGTACAGTTATATTAATAAAAACTCCAGCTCTTACTTTGCTAGTTTCAGCTATAAGAGATTAAATGAGATACACACGAAGTATCAAACTTAAGCAAAGACAGAACCAAAAAAAAGTCTTCTTCAAGTAAGAAGTATAAAATATATATTAACAGACACCAAGTGGGTGTTAATCCATATATAGATTATTTATATATCTACCAAAATATCAACAAAGTTCCCCAAATCATCCATAGAATATAGAGGGTGACCCAAGAGAAAAAAGCCAAGGGTCTTGAACCATATGTTCCTAATCTTATCCAAATCCCTCACATCATCAACCCCCTCAAAAGCTCTTTTATTCCTCCCCTTCTAGATCACCCAAGAAATGGTGAGTGGGACAAGGTTCACAAACTTCCTCCTACTGATACTCTTCCACACCTAGATTTCATCTCTAATCGTACCCATCATCGCCTAACTAATACCCAATAAACCATAAACGATCGACCATAGCTCGTACGTCACCGGACACCAGAAAAGAACATGATTACAAGTCTCCACGGCACTTTTACACAAGTAGCAACCATTCACCATAGTCATTCCCCTTCTCATTAATTTGTCAACAATCAGGATGCACCTTCTTACAGCCTCCCACGCAAAGAAAGCAAATGTAGGAGGGGCTTTAACCTTCCAAATTAGTCTAACCAAGAAAACAAAAAGAAAGAAACCTCATCCTCAATACCCTATTGGAATGAGAAGACTGTTATGGTACAGTTGGAGATGCCTAGCAATGTGGAATTCATATTCAAAATCACTCCCTCTGCTTACCTCAATAATAGTTTTAAATGTAAAAATACTTCTACAAATGCACTGTTATTTTAACAACTCAACTCCATGGACATGAGATTGATAGTGAAAAATAATTGACTGACGACAGAGAGAGAGAGAGAGAGAGAGAGAGAGAGCAGTCATAATGCATGTGATCATTAAAGTAGCTTATGGAATGCAGGGTCTAGTTATGTTGCTAAAAACTCAAGCTCTTACTTGGCTTCACTTCAACAATAAGACTCATGCTATGTCAAGTAAGAAAGTTAACTTAAAAACCCCCACCATAACAAATGAAAAGGAGTTAAAAAATCTACTTCAGTTCTGCAAAAAAGTTGAAAAAGAAAAACCATCTGTAGAAAGGGAACAAATTCATTCTCTTAAGCTGAGATAGAGAAGAAACATAAAGAAAGCTTATATAATGTCTCAATGCATGTCCTAGAGGTGGAAGCATTACCACAACCCAAAATATTGTTCCTCAAGAACAATAGTTAACACTTTCAAAAAACAGAAAACTAATTTCACTCTGGTACAGGACACATTAAAATGTCCATTTACGAGCTACAAAAGATGCATCAAAGATCAAAAGCCAAGCAAATTAAATAACAAGAAAGTAGTAACTGATAAAAGCTTTTATACTGAAATTATAGTTTCTAATTGGTAATTAAGCTTAAAAGAAATGTTGGAGTCAGTCAAGAATTTGACATTCCTCATTTACCAACCATAAATTGTTTTATCCACTTATGT